CATGAAGGATCATGTGACAATGAAAACAGAAGTAATCCTTGAGGAAAATTTGTTTTAAAAACACCCGCTTCGAATGTGATCACTCATTCACGCATTATCAGGCGTTATCAGCTGAAAGATATGGGCCAGTAGGGGCCTTCTGCACCTACTAGTAAGCTCAGAAGGCTGTTATCATCCATCCACATGATTAATCAGTTATACTGATAGAAAAGACCCCAGATCCAGATCTGTTTTTACATTACTGTGACAGTTGGGTTTAGGGTTGGGGTAGATGTTAATAAAATACAATTAATGGAAACTTAATAAATAATATAAACAATTCTCTGTAACTTCCGGCTGCAGCCGTATGTGATCTATGGCTGATTAACCATGTGGGTGGATGGATGATAACAGCCTTCTGAGCCTTCCTAAGATGCAGAAGGCGCATACTGACCCATATCTATCAGCTGATGATGACTGATAACACCCTGTCTATTGAGTGATAACATTTGAATTGGCTGTTTTAAAGTAAGTTGCTTTCTAAAATATACAGGTATAAAAGCAGACAAGGCAGATACCTCTTCATAAACTTATTTAAAATTCATTAAAACAAACAATAAAATGAATAAATAAAATAAATCGATTAATAAATAAAATTTGAAACATATTTTGTTTTCATATTTTTTAAGTAAGGTGGCGCAGTAGGTAGCGCTGTCACCTCACAGCAAGAACGTTGCTGGTTCGAGCTTCGGCAGGGTCAGTTCGCATTTCTGTGTGGAGTTTGCATGTTCTCCCCGCTTTCGCGTGGGTTTCCTTCGGGTGCTCCGGTTTCAGTCCAAAGACATGTGGTACAGGTAAATTGGATATAGTAGGCTAAATTGTTCCTAGTGTATGTGTGTGAATGAGTGTGTATGGATGTTTCGAAGAGATGGGTTGCAGCTGGAAGGGCATCCGCTGCGTGAAACATGTGCTGGATAAGTTGGCGGTTCATTTTGCTGTGGCGACCCCGGATTACTATAGGTACTAAGCCAAAAAGAAAATGAATGAATGAATTTTTTAATTATCAAGTTTGAATAAATTCTAAAATAACTCTAAAATAACTAAGCTAAAATTAGGCATGCACGATATTTATCAAATAGATAATTTATCAACAGAAACAAAATGAGTAAAAATTACATAATTAAAAACAAATAAAATATGATAACAATATCCAATAAACTGAACTTGCTGGTAAATCAATAAATAAGTCTGACATATTAAAGCAAGAATCGGCTGCCGCTTGACAAAAGCAATGCATTCTGATGATGAAAAATATATTTATGAAGGCATGTGTCTGTGTTGTTGTAGGGAATTCCTCAGTACGTCACAGATTGCAATAATTAAATTCATTCTTGACTCATTCCTTGCTATTACTGACACATAAATCAAGCAAACAGATGTGTTTAGTGAGAGACAGATCACAAGCCGTGGTAATGCTAAATTGTAGAGAGAGAAAGAGAGACGTGGTTATCCAGCAGGATCTTCTGTTCAATATGCTCTGATTAAGATGCACGGGAGTCTCTCATTAGCTACGATATGTTCAGCTAGTAACTAAAAAACTGCTGTGTGATATTGCTCATGTCTGTTATTTCAAGATTACAAACCATAATACAATTTTGTGAAACACTTTAAACACTTTGAGAGACAGATTATCAAGTGATATTTTAAATTTATTTAGAAAGCTATCTATTAGTATTCCCATCCATCTTAAAGTTCATAGAACCACATAGATTTTGAGGCAAAAAATAAGAAGCTAATTCATTGAATTATTAGTTTTTACAATTTGTTTACTTTTCCCAATAAATTGCATCAACATAAATTTATATTAAGTTTGTATGAATGTAATCTACTGGTAAAAGTATACATAAAATAGTAAAAACTAATAATGATATTAAATGGTTCATACTGCTTTATCATATTTATCATATCTTTACCATACCTTTATTATATTTACAAGCTTTTTGCACTACACTATTTTGCATCTGCACAACTCTGCTTTGCACTCCTTGCCATATTCCCTATATGTGTAATTGTATTGCTTACATTTTTTTTTCTTATTTCTTTAGATTATATTACATGTATAATTTCTTTTGAATATTCTTCTTTTTGTATTACTATTATATGTTAGCCACCTAGGGTCTGACAGTAATGCAATTTCGATTCTGTGTATGCAGGGGCGGATTTAGTGATTTGGGGGCCCTAAGCAGTTCCAGTCATGTGGCCAAAAATTTCTAAAATGCACCTTTTGTTTTTATTTTTGTTTAGTTTGCTGTTAAACAACTATCTCCTTTTCCACGCAGGACACATTTACGCAGATGTAATAATTACATTCAAATAAAAAAAATTTAGACCCTCACAATACAAAATATAACAGAAAACAATATTATTTATAATTTATAAGTATAAATCTAGGTATTTTTGGGGGGGCCCTCAGATTTCCTGTTCCCCTAAGCAGCCACTTACCTTGCTTATTGGTTAAATCTGCCCCTGTCTGTATGTCTTGTACATGTGGTTGAATTGACAGTAACACTGAATTTGACTTTATTTGTAATTAACATTTCCACAGTTTACGTAACTTAAAAATGTCAAAACTCTCACTTTTTTTATTATTTATTCATTCATTCATTTTCTTTTCGGCTTAGTCTCTTTTATCAATTTGGGGTCACCACAGTGGCATGCACCGGCAACTTATCCAGCATATGTTTTATGCAGAGGATGCCCTTCTAGCTGCAACCCACCTCATATCCATATACACTCATACTGTACACTACGGACAATTTTGCCAACCCAATTCACCTGTACTGCATGTCTTTGGACTGTGGGAGAAACCAGAGCACCAGCAGGAAACCCACGTGAACACTTGGAAAACATGCAAATTCCACTTTTTAAATTAGTTTAAGATAAAATAAAGCAGAACAGAAATATTGTGAAATATCTTTAAGGTTTTTCATTTTAAAGCTTTAAAATGTTATTAATCAATCAATGCTGAAATGTTATATCAAATCACAGATGCCAAATCCAGTTCCTGGAGGGCCGCAGAGGGCGTCTGCACAGTTTAGGTCTAACCCTGCTTTAACACATTTATCTGCAGGTCTAAAACAAGCATGAAGGACACAAATAGGTTCATCAGGAGAGTTTTATTAGGGTTAAAGCTAAACTGTGCAAAGCTGTGGCCTTCCAGCAACTGGATTTGACAATAATGAATCAATGTTGAAAAATATCGTGCACACTCAAAAAATGACTTTTGCTGCTTTTTCAAACTACTTATTTAAAATGAGTACACCTAAAGCACAAAAAGATGCAGGGTTCCACACAATTCATTCATGTTTTCCCAACACAAATTGACTTTTGAAGTTAATCGATTTTGACAAATTTATGTGGATTGAACATAAAACTATTTAATAACCCCCCAAAACTCAAAAAAATGTAGTTGTTTCAGTTCGTTTTTAAAAAAAACAGTTTGAACAAGCAGCAAAATTATTTTTTGAAGTGTAGAAAGCAGAGTATTCATAGATTTATGGGATGAGTTAACAGAGAAAGTCGCCTGGATTGAATTAACTAGTAAGTTGAAAAGAAAAAAGTCCCAGTTAATGTCTCGGATTAATATGTGTCTGGGAAACTGGCCATTTATGTTTTATGTATAACAGATATGAGCCATAATTCTGTCACAATCCTTATTTGACTGATGTAATTCTTCCATCAGTGCCAAGTTTTCATATGATTGTCTTGACTTTCAGCATTCATGTTATTTTTTCCCGAGTAAAAATCAGAGGTTTGTGGATTTAGCAACACAACTGACTTCAACTGAACAAAAAGCAAACATGACTAATCAGTTCCTGAATATACTGCTCACGTTGTCTGTGCTCATTTCCAAACATACAGCCAGATTCTCTAAAAACACTCATTTTGCAACAAATTCATCCTAAAGAGGAAATGCTTTCATCACATCACGTCACTTGACTTTCGGATGCAGCAAACTAGACTAACGGGAGAAAAAAAGGAAAATGAAATTGAGGACGCTTTTAATTGCATTAAGTTCTTGAACTGTTACTTTTGGCCTAGTGAATAAATTCTTTTATAAATCACTTCACAATTTTAATTTGTCCACAATCAGTAGACATACATTAACAAGTGCCATTTCCAATGGGCATTAAATTAGATAAATAAATGACCCTTGAAAATGTCAATCTAAAGATCTGAATTCATTCATTCATTCATTTATTTTCCTTCAGCTTAGTCCTTTATTTATCAGGGGTTGCCACAGCACCTGAATGAGCCGCAAACTAGACAAAAAAAAAACATTTTACAAAGTGTAAGCTCTTCTAGCCGCAACCCATTACTGGGAAACATCCACACACACACACATTCAAACTCATACACTACAGCCAATTTAGTTCATCCAGTTCACCTATACCACATGTCTATGGACTTTTGGTGAAACCGGAGCACCCGGAGGAGTCCCACGCCAACACAGGGAGAACATGCAAACTCCACACAGAAATGCCAGCAGACCCAGCTGGGACTCGAACCAGTGACCATCTTGCTGTGAGGCGATAGTGCTAACCACTGAGCCACCATGTCGCCCCCTAGGTCTGAATTATATGTATTGTAAATATAAATGGACAATATTAACATTCTTTTCACGATTAGAATTTTACACAAGATATTGTTCATTTAAATATTACATCAATTTGATATGTAACTAAATCGGATAATTAACTAAATCAAATCTGTCAAATGTCTCATACTTCATTTCATTTTTACTGACATTCTGTATCCTTGACAAAAATACACTTTTAATATATTTATATAAAAGGAGAAATGGATGTCATGCTGAAAGTTACAGTACAAGTGAGAGACTACAACAACAAAAAGTTTGAAGGTAAAGAACTACCTAATTACTAAAATGTCACAAAATAATAAAGAGAGAATGTCATTAAAAAATGAGGAAGCAAGGAAGGGATTCAGAAAGTGCTTCTGACCAGATATCTCTCATCATCCTTCATCTGGGGTGTGCGGATCAGGTGATTTTGCTCTCCTCTCCAGTCCCCGAAACGACGGAAAAAGTAATTCGAGAGAAAACGGTTAATGGGATCCCTGATGATGTTTATGTAGACAGGCTGTTCTATCCTGAACCTGAGAAAAAAGTAAAAAAAAAAAGATATCATAAAGAGTCTGTGTGCCTGTGTTTTTATCTTTAATCTGATAAGAAACATTTACATAAATGATCCTTGATTTGCTTACCTGGTGAAATTGAGAAAGTGAACATGTCTGGTGTACAGAAAAGGTTGCGGGATATTGCTAATGTTTGTGATCAAATCCACCTGAAAAAAAAAAATCAACAAAAATTAACAGATGAAAATGTTTAGTATAGTATCTTCACTCAATGATACTGACAACTGCAGCAAGAATAGTTGCAAGAATAAATTAAAAATAGCAATAGGTGTAAAAAGTTCCTAAATAAGAGCATCAATAATTTAATAAACTATATCTAATAATACTGCAGATAAATATACATATATAAATTTCTCTCAAACAAATACATTTTAAAAAATCTCATACAGACAAAGGATTTACCAAGTTTTTTGATCGGTTGTTGGATCCCATTTCATCTATTTATATGATGCCCTAAATGTGTACTCTTTTTGTGAAGAAAAAGTCAATACTTTTAAATGTGTAACAATAGTATATGTGTAACAATAAAATTTTTTTTTTTTTTTTTTTTTTAATTAATTTTTTTTTGGGGAGGAAGGTGTGACGACCCCTTGTGGTCGTTTGTGGCTGGGGTGTGGGTGTCGGTCTGTGCATCTGTGTGTGTGTGTTGCAGGTCCAGCTGATTGCGCTGGGATTGAGAACACCGGTTTGTGATTGAGTTGCTCTGCTATAAATAGCGTGTTCGTTTCAGACGAGAGTGAGAGGCTGCACGTGGAATCTGGTCACTTACCTTTCGGCTAGGATCGGTTTTGGACCTGATGGGCTAGCAACATGACCTTAATAATAGTAAATAAATATATTTTTGTACCGCAATTGTACTCGACTTCTCCTTATTTGTGGTGACCGGTTTAGGTCATAACATAGGCAAGTTGCTGGGACACACTGCTTCATCATGAACATACTGTTCTGTTTCTTCTGTTTTCTCATATGAGGTTTTTAAAAATCAATTAGCATCTGTGTCTTTATGAAAGTACAGAAATATTATTGCAGATGACATTAATTAAATATTTTTTTGAAAACAATTCACTTGAAATGCTGTTTATGAAAGCTTTATCATCATTTTATGCATGCTTATGACAACTGTTATTAAGCATTTAATCCAGTTATGTCATTTTAAATGCAAGTATAACTGTTTTTGATATGTCTTTCTTGTGAAAACTTATAAAAAAACACCATAACCTGTTTTAATCTTTGCATGACAACCTAACATTATCAAGACAACATATCTTGTCATAAATCTGTCATAAACATGACTGTCCTGAGGCCATTCTAAGGTTGTCAGCGATTTTTTTTAACAGCTTCGTTAATATTTTTCTTGACCTCAAAAATAGTATTGCAAATTGAAAAAGTCATTAAACCCCATATCATGTCATTCAACCACAGTGTGTACAGATCCAATTTGTCTTTAAAATTTCACTAATTATTAATAAAGCAATTAATGATAAAAGTGATAAAAAAAATAATGTCATAGACATGACTAAAACCTCCATCATATTCATAAAATGGGCTATGTCATTATTAACTTTAAGTTGTTACCATTATTTTTCATTAGATTAGATATTACACATTGATCATTCAAACCCTCTTGCCAATACCTCTCCACATCTGCCATGTTTGTAGTTTAGCATTTATTTTCGTTATCTGTGATTGCAGTTCAAATCAAGATCTACACTTCCAATGTCTGCTGAAAATGGACCGTCAGTTTAACACTGGAAGACTTATTTAAACACTGTGATTTGGGACACACTAATTATAATTTTTTTGTTTACTATTTAGGATGAAAAGTATGAAAGGCAGCTGCAGCAAGTGACCATAAACCAATAATTCCTCAACCACAGAAATGAATCCATTAAATAAAACCATCAACATATAAAAAGTGCAAACAGACCCCTTAGGTCTCAGAAGAACACAACTGAAGGAGACATTCCTCGCGTGGACGGTGCGTGGTGCAGTGGAAAATGGTTAGGTCATCTGATGAGGTGGACTTCTCATTAGCTTAATGTTTTCTAATGAGGGCCAGCTGGGGCCCCAGTCTGCTCTGATAGAGCCCATGTGTCCTTAACTGCATGTTACAGTCACTACAAACATACACACACAGGCATAGGGAGACTTAACAATCCTATAATGGATCACCATATGCAGAGCGGGATGATGTAATGTTAGTCTGCTGTGCCAGGACGGTGTGTGTGTGTGTGTGTATGTGTGTGTGTGTGTGTGTGTGTGTGTGTGTGTGTGTGTGTGTGTGTGTGTGTGTGTGTGTGTGTGTGTAGATCACAGCTTCTTGTAACTCTCAACAATAGCTTCCAGAAGTTTCCAGGTTGGAAAAGACCACCCTCAGAACTGAGATTTCATAGCAAAAATTAAATCTCTTAATGTTGCATCTTGACTCAAGCCGTCACACCATAAAACGTGCACTGCTCAAGCTTTATTATTTTACCAAACTCTGCACCAAATGCCAAAACAAAAAAAATCATGAACAACCTGAGGTAGTGACATAATTTGAAAAATGGAATAATTTCCTGTGCTGTACATGCTTTTATAGACATATAGAAGCTGTCCTGCTAAAGTAATGCTTTACAAGTCAATATATGATACAGTATATATTAATATATAATAATGTCATGCAGTTGTTAGCTTATCAGTTTAAACTGAAGGGTCTAATTCTGCTTCTTTGACCACTTCATAAGCTACACCTCAGTTTGTACTCTAGATGACTGGGTAAGGGTTCCATGTTTTGGTGTCTTGAGGTCAAATAAAAATATGAAGAATGTGATCCGATGCTTTATTTGGTAAACCTTGGCATTGTGATGGGCAATATTTTATTCAGTTGAATCAAGTATATAATTAGGTTTTTAATTTGAAGAGGCCCTATTGTGGGTTTTTGAAAATGACCTAAAAACTATTGATTCTTTAACAAAATAGTCGACTCGGAGTTGAATAAATGAATTGGGTTGGGTTCGGATCTTTCACTCGAATGCGCCGATGTTGATATGGTACATCACCAAATATGTAGTACCAGATCCGGTAAGTATCCCCTCAGACACTAGCGGAGCACGGGGGATTATGGAACTGATCATGGCGATCACTGACAGATGGAGATTTGGCTGTGGGGAATAAAGGGTTAAAGTTTATTTAAACAATAACATCACAGTATAGCCAACTGTGTGCTGTTTGTTCCTGTCATTTTTCAGATTTTTGATTCAATAACCTACGCTGCAATGCGGGATTCGCTAGCCGTTTGCAATTCAAGAAAGAGCAGCAGAGGCTATTATTTATGGGAATTTGTCAGTAACTGTTATGGACCAGTTTTTTCTTCCTCTGGATCATATCATGTAAGAGTAATTAAATTGTTGCCTTATTTTGTGTAGTTTGGAAAATATGTGTTTAAATTGTGTGTTGTAAGTTGTAATCGCTCCACGCGGCTTGTATTCATTCTATTATATCTATTATAGATCAGTGCTTGTACTCAATCTCTCAGGTTAACTCTCCATGGGGTTATGCTCATATTGCATCTAAACCGTGTTGAAAATGTGACGTGTGCTTCTTCCTTTACCGATTTAAATGCTTTTCCAAACTTTCGATGCTCTGCCAGTTGACTTTGCTATGGCCATCATCAGCTATTCCTCACACACGCAGCACTGTCAATTTTCAAATATGTTTAACTTTTGCCACTGTGTGGATTAATACTGAATGTGTTTCGTTGTTGTTATTATGTGGGGTTAGGTTCAAGAGTAGAGTAATATGCTGGTGTTTAACTGCATTGCTGTAATCCACTTGCATTGGGCTCTCACATACTCTCTGCTACTTCTTAGCCATGGTGGTCGGCTCTCTCTGTCTTGCGCTTAACCCAGTCGACCAATCACAGCAGACTGGGTCATTGGACCAATCAGCGCAGATTAACCTCACGCAAAGGAGGGGTTTGAAATCAAATGAATAGCTAAACAAATCAAATTGGAGATGTTGGGATAATTAGGTAAAATAGATGCATATTATAAGACAATGAAAGTGTTTTTTGACCTTGCATGCATATCAGCCTATTGTTGGAGACCCTCAAAACCAAAATAGGACCTTTTATAATGCAAAACATCTTAATTTAATCTTATGCAAATGAGCAGTCTAAAAGGGTTTTCCTTCTATTAAAAATTGTCTTGACTTTAAATGTTCAGAGAAAATTGAATTTATTCCCTTTTAACTCAATATCTTTTTGCAAATTAATCAAGATGAACACAGCAGCTCAGAGTGGCCGTGATTTAATAAAATGCAATATGTAGATCTATATATTTTTGTGCTTCAACTAATTAAATGCAAGAATAGTAACTTCAGCACGTGTGATAGGATCCTATAGACCATGGTTATTATGAATCTCCATTCAATGAAGCAGCAGACTATGAAACTTCTTGGAGTTCCAAAAAGAAAAATAAAGTTGTGCAATCTGGAGCAACATGAGATTAAGCAAATTATATCAAATTATATCAACTGGCAGTTGACAGACGGGGTATTTCCTGTGAACTCTCTTATTACTAACAACTCCTTGCTCCGTTTACACTTATATAATGATGCGAAGACCAAGTGTTTAATAGCAAGGAGCCACATTTGTACTTGTTTTGTACAAAAACAGACCAAACATTCAATCTATCCCCACAAATAAACTTCATTATTAATTCTCTAAATGAGAGTTTGATGACCCTTGTCCTGAGGAAAAAATGTGCATTTGGTTAGAAGACCCTGAAGATAGAAATAGACAAATAGAAAATCAGTGACAACCACAGCTTTCAGCCAGACAAAACAAGGACTGAAAATACATGTAATGCACTCAATAACAGTTATGCTAACTAATCACAGACAATGCTGACAGAATAATTCCCCAAGTACGGTCAAATGGCTAATAGATAATAGACGTGTGTATCACTAATCCAACCAAAAAACCCTTTTTCTTCTAAGTATTCATATAAGAAACAATTACTTCATCAATTTACAGATTCAAATATGGACCAAAAATGACCCGAAATGTATATTTTAGGCACATAAGCTACGAAATGAGAGTGTGACTTTTTTTCTCAATACATTACACCTAAACCAACACATTTGACCATTTGTCTGTAATAAGATG